AAAGCAACTGATGGAAGAAAGAATTTGTTTGGGATAAGAGCCCATCACAGAAGAGAGGCACAGCATGGCAGGCAGTGGGCATGGCAGGCAGCGGGCATGGCAGCTGCAGCAGGAAGTTGAGAGTGCATATTCTCAACCACAAAGCACAAAGCAGAAAGTGAACTGGAGTGGGCAGAGGCCATGAACTCTCAAAATCCCACCCCAAGCCAGGTAGGTGCACGCCTTCAATCCCAGCGCTTAGGAGGCAGAGGCAGACAGATCCCTATGAATTCGAGTCTAGCCTGATCTACATAGTGAGTTTCAGGACAGCCCAGGATATGTATTGAGACCTTGTCTCAAACAAACAAGAAACCCCTAAAACGCAAAAGTCCACACCAGAAACATGCTTCCTCTAGCAAGGCCATGTCTCTCATAAAGGTTCCAAAACACCCAACCCAAACAACACTGTCAACCAGAGACCAAGCATTCAAACACACGAGCCTAAGGGGGACATTCTCGGTCAAACCGTCACACGCTTTTCTGCTTTTACATAAATGGAAGCAGACACACTAGCCATGTTGACAAATGTGCTTTTTGTCCTTGATAATATGTGGGGAACTCCTCACATCTGCATATTTGCGAGACCCTTGTATGATCTAGAAGTCCATAATTGCTTGCATTCAACCTTCTGATTGCTTAGTTTTCCTCTGAGGAAACCGGAAGAGTATGACTTGCAGTCTCCAAACCCTGTTATCTCCTGAGAGTACATGTGGACTCTAGCATTACTCACTGATTCTATTTACTTATCTGTAGGAGAAAGCCTGTATGCCGCCATTAACCATGTGACTTACTAGAGGCGCATACAGATGAGGTAATAAAAGGGTCGTTTACCACACCGCTAACCACACCCACTTTAGGCATGACTAAAGACGTATACAGCCGGATGTAAAGACGTATATGTACGTACGCAGGCGGTGAACTACGTAGGCGGTGAGGTGAACTACGTCACTAGCCAGGCCCACTTTTGGGCATGGCTAGGGGGCGTTACGGGGGAAGGCATAAAAGACAGCACACAGGAAGTCTTGGTCTCTTTTTTTTTTTTGAAAGTAAAACTTATCTGTCTTGGTTGGGGGAAAAGCACAAAACACAATATGTACCATCTTAAACCTTTTTAAAAACAGAACTCGGGCTGGCAAGTTGACTCAGTGGTTATGAGCACTTGTTCTAGCAGAAGGCCTGTGTTGGCCAGCAGAGTGGCACAGCAGAAGCACAAGGCCTGTGTACAGTTCCCCACTCTCACATGGTGGCTCAGAGCCATCCATAACTCCAGTTCCAGGGGATCCAGCACTCTCTTCTGTAGCTTGACTTTCCTTTAAGACTGTCACCTCACAATAAAAAGCACAGAGACTTATTAACTATGGAAGCTTGGCCATTAGCTTAGGATTGTCCCACTAGCTCTTTATTTTTTTTATCATGAGGGCTTTTTTAAAGATTTTATTTATTGTGTATACAACATCCTGCCTCCATGTATGTCTGCACACCAGAAGAGGGCACCATATCTCATTATGGATGGTTGTAAACCACCATACGGTTGCTGGGAATTGAACTCAGGACCTCTAGAAAAGCAGCCCGTGCTCTTAACCTCTGAGCCATCTCTCTAGTCCCCGACTAGCTCTTATAACCTGCTTTTATTAATCTACATTCTGCCAAGTGGCTTGGTTACCTCTACTCTGTACCCTATGTCCAACCTCTTCAGTGTCTCCCTGGTATCTCACTGGTGTAATCTGAACTCCTAGATTCCTCCTTCTCCTCTGCCGCTCTCTCCCTGGAAATCCTGCCTACCCTCTCCTGCCTAGCTATTGGCCATTCAATTCTTTATTAAACCAACCAGAAGGTGCCTTAGCAAAGACACATCTTCACAGTGTACAAAAAGATTATTCCACAACATTCTTCTAACCTCTGCAGACACCAAGCACACACTTGGTGCAGAGACACACACACAGGAGAAACACTAAGACACATAAAATAATATAAATAAAACAAAATGATACAAGTAAATAAACCTAAAAAAGATTCTTCATTTAAAAAACTAAAATTAAAAACCTTAGCTCGGGGCTGGAGAGATGGCTCAGAGGTTAAGAGCACTGACTGCTCTTCCAAAGGTCCTGAGTTCAATTCCCAGCAACCACATGGTGGCTCACAACCATCTATGATGAGACCTGGTGCCCTCTTCGGGCCTGCAGACATACATGCAGGCAGAATACTGTGTGTTAAATAAATAAATAAATAAATAAATAAATCTAAAAAAAAAAAAAAACCTTAGCTCAGGGGGCTGGAGAGATGGCTCAGAGGTTAAGAGCACTGTCTGCTCTTCCAGAGGTCCTGAGTTCAATTCCCAGCAACCACATGGTGGCTCACAACCATCTATAATGAGGTCTGATGCTCACTTGTGGCCTGCAGATGTACATGCAGATAAGTATCATATACATAAAATAAATAAAACTTAAAAAAAAAAAAAACCTTAGCTCAGCCGGGCGTTGGTGGCGAACGCCTTTAATCCCAGCACTCGGGAGGCAGAGGCAGGCAGATCTCTGTGAGTTCGAGACCAGCCTGGTCTACAGAGAGGGTTCCAGGACAACCAGGACTATGTAGAAAGGACCTCTCTCAAAAAAACCAACCAACCAACCAAACGAACAAACAAAAACACCTGAGCTCATTAACAGTAATATGCATTGTTGAGTCCAAATCCAAGGTCTCCAGAGTGCTTTTCAGTGCTTCTGAAGCTCTGTTTTAGCAAACACCTTGGATTCCTCAAACCCACAAGCCCCCAAAGCCACCATTCTGATGCGGGGAATCTGATCCCTCCTGGAACCTGAGACAGAATCCCTCAGAGTTTGTCATTGCGGGTCTGGCTTATTTCACTCAGCGCAGTGTCCACAAGCCCCACCTGAACCACAGCATGTGTCAGAACTCTCTTCTCTTTAAGGGCTCCATAACCTGCTACGTGCACACAGCAAGTTTTATTTGGCCATTGATCTGTCAACAGACCCTGGATTGCTTCAGCCTCGCCTCGGCCTCCTGAGTGCTGCACCGCTCTTGCCCTCTGGCCCTCATACCTGCCTCTGTTGCTTACACCTGAGAACCTAAGTGTGGGACACACACACCCCCACCCCCCACCCCCAGACTGGCTCTTAGCTCGGGGCACAGCTGAAGAATTTGCTGGCCTTGCCTTCTCTCTCTCTTAGTCTACCAGTGCTCTTTCTCAGTTTACATTTCCCCATTGTCTTGATGGAACTGGAGGAGAGAGCAGAGCTATGGGCATTTGCTAACGCCTCTTGGACTGCCTGTCATAAGATGTGTGCTGGCAACAAGGCGATCGCTGGTGTGCTAACTCCCTGGCAGTCATCTTTCTTCTCTCAAAGTGACTCTGCCTGGGATATACACACACTCACTCTGTCTGTGACATCTCCGTGGACGGAGTGAAGCACACTGTTTACACCTGGAGTCGCCTCCTGGTGTGCAATGTTGAAATCACCAAAGGACTTCATTTCCATGAAAATGAGCAGCCTCTTGTTTGTGAGTGGTATAAAAATGGTATAATAGTCTATGTACAGTACCAGATGCTTCTTTCTTTTAAAAAGCACAATGTAGGGACTGAAGAGACAGTTAATCGTCCATAGCTCCTGCAGAGAGCCTGAGTTTGGTTCCCGGCACCCATGATTGGGAACTCACAACCACCTGTAACCCCAGTTCTTATATTTTTAGTTGTGAGCCTAGCCTTTAACGGCTGAGCCATCTCTCCAGCCCTGTAACCCCAGTTCTAAGGGATCTAACACCCTCTACTGACCTCTGTAGGTGCTATATGCACATGGTGTAGCCACACTCAGGAGCGTACACACAGACATAAAATAAACACATGAATCCATTTTTAAAGTACAATGTAGGCTTGTTCTTTAAAGACATGTTCATGTTATGCAGTGAGCATCTCTGATCCAAAACACAAACCCAGAATCTGAACTCACTGAACACCAGCCTGATACATCACCCACGGAAAACCCTGTGCCTGGCCTCCTGTGAATGGAGGTGAGACAAAGGAAAGTTAAAATTCTTGCATCAAGCTACCATGAATAAGACACACATGAAACATAAATGGATTTGTAAATTATATGCACGAATATATTCCAATCCCGACAACCTTAGAATTCAGTCTGGTCCCACCATTCTAGATACGGCTGTCCCGCCTGTCTTATATTATCTATGTTCCTCATTCTGCTGATGTCCTGTGTAAACACAGTCCTTGGTCACCATGACCACTCATTCTCAAACTAATGATATTTAAATATGCTTCTGGGCAATGTGGGCAATGTCTTCACAGAATGGGAAACTGGGATCAATAAACATGCTCCTGGTCACTTTAGTTTGGGCCAAGCTGTGTCCCTGATGTGACCCCTTCTTTCTTTCTCTCTTTCTTTCTTTCTTTCTTTCTTTCTTTCTTTCTTTCTTTCTTTCTTTCTTAAGAAAGGTTTATTAAATGCACTACAAGAGGCACACAGCTGGGCAGTAACTAGAGTACTGATTGCCATAACTTCTCTCTTTAAATGGTTTTTTAGAATTTCATATCTACCCCTCTCTCTTCCCCCTCTAACTCCTCCTATGTCCCACCCCCACTCACACTGCCTATCAAGTTCATGACTGACATCTTCTTCTATAAGTATTGTTACACACACACACCCTACTGAATCCTTTTAGCTTTGTGTGTTTAGCTCTTGGTTGTCTTTACAACTGGTCAAAATGCAGAGAATAAGTGACCATAGTGTGCCCAGCCCCAACTGGTACATTCACAATGTAATCCCAAGGCCCAGGAGACACCAGGAATGTGGCTGTAGAAAGACTTTAAGAGACAGAGAGGACCAGGACTTGATGGGGAGGTCCTATGTCAATAAAGCACTGTTGGCCAATAGGGAAGCAAGATAGGTGGGACTAAGAATCCAGGAGAACTCTGGGTAGGAGAAACACAGGAGTCAAGATGTAACCGCCATAGGGGGTAAGAAGCTTGGAAACTTCTCCGGTAAGAGAAACACTTAGATTAACAATTATGGGATAAATACTTAAGTCAGAGTTATGCAGTAAGAAACAAGCAAGGCCAACAGCTTCATAATTAATACAGAGTCTTGTGTGTTATTTGGGGACTACAACGCGGCAGAGCACAGGCAACTGGCAAGTGGCTGACAAGGAAAAAGCTTCTCATTACAAGGACTCCTTTAATCTCAACAATATGGTTGCCTAGACCTGCATGGTGACACCAGCGGCTGACAAGGTCTCACCCTCCTTAACGTGCTTTAAGAGGAGTCTGTAGGCAACCCCTTCCAGCAGTGCTTTACGCGATTGTGCCAGCAGGTGGCGCCCGAACACCACCGTTTCTAAATGGAGTCCCAACCATCAGGCCCGACTGTTCCCTGATAACTGGAAAGACAAATACTGAGTGAAAGGAAAGTCTTTGAAGATCATTTACCCAGGGTGCTATCTTTTCTGGACTCATGGTAACGAGCGCTTTTCGTGCTGGCCCCTAACTGAGTCCCCCGAGATCAGAGCCTCCTGTACTACCTCTTCTCATCCCCACGCCCTCCTGTCTGGGACCCCGCCCCCTGCGGTGTCTTGTGTTCCTTCCTAATCGTTTCTGAGCTCTTTTCCCGAGAAGGACTCTCCTGGTAATAGGCCTAGCTGAACTCTTTTGCCACACTGTCTTCTGTGCTAAAGTACTCACCAAAACAACCGGGGGGGCGGGGGAAATGCTATTGAAAAAACACAAACAGGAACCTGCAGGCAGATTTGACACCCTCTTCCTTGGGTTCACTCATGTGTGCACACACATATAACACACCCAATTTAAAAAACGAAAATAAGGCTTTAATCCAAGCACTCGGGAGGCAGAGGCAGGCAGATCTCTGCGAGTTCAAGGCCAGCCTTACCTACAGAATTGAATCCAGGACAGCCAAGGGTTACACAGAGAAATCCTGTCTCAAAAAAACTAAAATTAGTAAGTAAATCTTTTTTTAAAAAGAAAGAAAATAGCACACAAGGAAGGAGGCAGAACTCCTGAGATACCTACCCTGTTTCATACCCACTAATTAAGTATCTGTTCCGTTAAGTGTTTGGGGTACAAAGATAGATTAAAACATGGTTTCTAGCTTCTAGAGCAATGCTTCTCAACATGTGGACCATGACCCCTTTGGAGTCAAATGACCCTTTTACAGGGGTCAAATATCAGACACCCTGAATATCAGATATTTACACTGTGATTCATAGCAAAACCACAGTTATGAAGTAGCAATAATAATTCTATGGTTGGGGGTCACCACAACACAAGGAACTGTATTAAAAGGTCGAAGCATTAGGAAGACTGGGAGCCTGCTCTAGAACAACCTCAATGGCAGATGAAAAAAATCAACTTTTAAGTAGGCAGATCTGTGACCTGTCTGAGTTACCAGGAAATTTTTCACCAGGAGCAACCCCAGTTTTATCCCACCATCCATGTGGTGATTCCCAATCACCTGTAACTCCGGTTTCAGGGGACCCCATACCCCATTCTAGCTCTGTGGGCACCAGATATGCACGAGGTACACGGGTATGCATGCAGGAAAACATCCATGCACATAGAATAGGGTGTTAAGGACGCCACACTTCTGTCTAGTGAAATACGGCCACCGCTGGCTCTGATTACGGCAATAACGTGGTTGGAAACATTCATTATACAGAAGTCTCTGCTCTCTTGGTTATGACCTTAAGCCTGGGTATGACAAAACTCGGAGGTAGAATGCTTGTCTAGCCGGTTCTGTCCCCAGCACACATGTCACCCCTGCCACCAACAAAATCCTGAAACCTGTGTTTACACATTGCAGGAACATTGTGCAGGCTCCTCCCAGAGGCTCAGCTGGTGTTGCACAAGGCCAGCTTGTGTGTTCAGCAAATCCAACCCACTGGGTCAGTGAGAGCAGCCATGGATATGGAGAGAGTCAACTCCATGGGCTTCGGGGAATTTGTGGATGTGTTTGGGAACATCATTGAAAAATGTCCTCTGGTTGCAGCTGCTGTGTGGTCCCAGCGTCCATTCTCTAACTTGGAAGACTTAGAAAGTCACTTTTTTGCTTTTATCGATGCTCTTCCAAGATCAGGTAAGACCATGAGCACAAAGCGATTTCTAATCTCGTCTATAAAAATAGTTTAGGTTGCCGGGCAGTGGTGGAGCTCGCCTTTAATCCCAGCACTGGGGAGGCAGAGGCAGGTGGATCTCTGTGAGTTCGAGGCCTGGTTGGACCGACAGCCTCCAAAATAATACAGAGAAACCCTGTCTCGTAAAAACCAAAAAAAAAAAAAATAGTTTAGGTTATTTTAGCCTTGTTGCTTATACTTAAAATTACTTAGTGGGGGCTTATGGGGGGGTCAGTAAGCACCCTCTGAAGATGCTAAGTAGACCTAAGAGTTTGTCTGGTAAGACAGCATGGCAAATAAACATGGGAGCTTGGAGGCCACCAACCGGAATGGGGCAAAGGCCTCTGTGAGTTAGAGGCCAAAGGGCAGACTGAGGCTGGTCCTGTTCAGCCACCCAGGGTCTGCTTTGGCCATGCTCTGGATGCAAGAGAGAAGGGGTACATTTCAGGGACCCCAAGGGGGATGCAAAGCTCCGGCATGTTTACAAGGGAAGTGCATTCACTCAGACCCCAGAAGAGAAGCTGAGGGGGATCGGTGTGCTCTAGGGAGACAGAGAGAGAAAGAGAGAGCCCTGAGACATTTGGGCCATGGGGTGGGAACGTGAGGAGGTAGAAATTCAGACTGAATGGCATAGAGGTCAACGGCACACTGTCCCTGCTCACAGGCTACCCTGATTCCACGAACCTGACATACCCTTGGGGACTTCAGGCAGGAGGGTGACCCTGTGGTCTCACAAAGGGGCGGCACACACTGCTACCCTCAGGACAGCTGTGACATTCAGTGGCTTCCCATCCTCACCTGGATGACCTCATAGGGGAACTTACCGAGGAAGAACAGGATTGCCACAAAACCAAACTGGGAGCCCAGAAAGACGCTTGGCAGGCCAGAGCACTGCCTGTTCTTCCAGAGGACCCGGGTTCAATTCCCAGGACCCACATAGCTGCTCACAACTGCCTCCAAAAACCTGACGTCCTCTTCTGGCCTCCGTGGACACCAAGAACACATGTGATACACAGACAATGCAGGCAAGACATTCAAACACACCAAATTTCAAATGTAAGTGTGCGTATCTCAAACTGAAGCCCAGAGTAGTGGCCCAGGCCATAACCCCAGGATCCACTGGGCTGCAGTCAATCCCTTGCACATTGGTTCTATGGGGGCCCCGTTCTTAAAATAATGAATCCAACATGATATTTAAATTGATTTATTTATGACTATGTGTGTGACAGAGTATATGTTTGTGGCTGTGGAGCCAGAAATGGGTGTCTGATCCCCTAGAACTGAGCTATGGGCAGTGGTGAGCCACCTGACATGGGTGCTAGGGACTGAACTCAGGTCCTCTGCAAGAGTAGCGAGTGCTCTTAACCACTGAGCCATCTCTCCACCCCAACCTAAAGGTTTTCTGTTGTTGTTGTCGTTGTTGTTTTTTTAATGGCAAAACTAGAAGTCAATCCCTCAGCTTCTGGAGGATTTTCTACATAATCTAAAACAAAATTAGAAAGGTGTGTTTGAGCACTCACACATGCATGCACACGTGTTGTGTGTGTGTGTGTGTGTGTGCATACAGGCATGGGTGGGATGCACACACAGGGGACAACATCGGGTGAATTCCCCTCTCGCTCTGATTTAGCCCTTTGAGATAGGGTCTCTCACTGAACCCAAAGTCTGTTTTAGCCAGACTGGCCTGCAAGCTTTGGGAGGATCTGCCTGTACCTGCCCTCAATCCTGGGACACAGGCTCGGGCAGTCAAGACAGGCTTTTGACATGGGTGCCGGGCAATCACACTCTGACCCCCCCCCGTGCTATCTTTTGCCTTTGGACAACAAGGAGCAAACTGGGTAATAGAATCTTTGCAGTTTAAGGGTAGAAAAGACCTTAAGAGGGCACCCCACTTTACTTCTCTGTTGCTGTGATATAGTGCCATAGCCAAAACCAGCTTGGGCATAGAAAGAGTTTACATGGATTACGCTTCCACATCAAGTCCGTATTGAGGAAAGTCAGGGCAGGAGCTCAAGGCAGGAACCTAGCGGCAGGAAACTGAAGCTGGTGCCATGGAGCAACACTGCTGCCTAGCTTGTTTTCTCTTGCTTGCTCAACTGCCTTATCCAGCCCAAGCCTGCCAGCCTAGGGATGGCACCGCCCACAGTGGCCCAGGCCCTCCCTCATCAATTAACAATTAAGAAAATGCCCCATAAGCCAGGCAGCGGTGCTGCACATCTGTAATCCCAGCACTGGGGATGCAGAGGCAGGTGGACCTCTGCGAGTCCCCCACCAACCTGGTCTACAGAAGGAGTTCCAGGCCAGCTAGAGATGTAACCCAGAGAAATCCTGTCTCAAAAAAACCAAAGAAGAAAAAGGAAGGAAGGAAAAAGGAAGGAAGGACAGACGGAAAAGAAAATGCCCCACATACACACCCCACAGGACAATTCAGCTGAGGTTTCCTCTGCACAGATGACAAGTTGGTTTGTGTCAAAGTGACAAAATGAAGTATCACAGGTGTGTGTGTGTGTGTGTGTGTGTGTGCGTGCGCGCGCACACACAGGAGAAAGAGAGAGAGAGAGAGAGGAAAAAGAGACTCAGTGCTTTTCCTGGAGAAGGATTTGTTCAGATCTTTTAAAAGTTATTTACTCATGTGCATTGGTATTTTGCCTGCATGTATGTCTGTGTGAGGGTGTCAGATCTTGGAGTTGTGAGTTGCCATGTGGGGGCTGGGAATTGAACCCGGGTCCTCTAGAAGAGCAGCCAGAGCTGCTGAGACATCTCTCCATATCCACGGATTATCTTTTTTAAAAAAAGAAAGAGAGAAAAAGAAAAAAACTTTCACCGGGCGTTGTTGGCGCACGCCTTTAATCCCAGCACTTGGGAGGCAGAGGCAGGTGGATCTCTGTGAGTTCGAGACCAGCCTGGTCTACAAGAGCTAGTTCCAGGACAGCCTCCAAAGCCACAGAGAAACCCTGTCTCGAAAAACCAAAAAAAAAAAAAAAAGAAAAAGAAAAAAACTTTCTACCTTTCACAGAAAACTGAAAATTGGAGTTTTGGAGTAAAAAGGGAGGTTGATCTTTCCTTTAGGGGAAGCTATGATGTATAGTGGCCACTAGATGGCAGTAAAGGATTAACATTGAGCCCAAGCCTTACCTACTGCCAATCAACTCTTACTGCCCTAAGCAGAGGCAAGGTGACAGCTATGGTAAGGAAAGAAAGCCAGGTTGAAACATGGGGGGGGAGACGGGGACCCTGTACCGGCGCAGTTCTGTCCTAAGTCATAGTGGGCCAGGGGAAACAACCACACCTAAGGCTGTGGGTTCCATCTCCAGTGTCCAAACCTCCCTCCCTCCCTCCCTCCCTCCCTCCCTCCCTCCCTCCCTCCCTCCCTCCCTCCCTCTCTCTCTCTCTCTCTCTCTCTCTCTCCCTCCCTCCCTCCCTCCCTCCTTCCCTCTCATTCCTCTTTTGTTCTTGCTCCTCCGTCTCTGCCAGTTTTTCTCCATCTTTCTCTCTGTCTCTATTTCTCTTCTCTCTTTCTCTAGACACCCCCCCCGTGTGTGTGTGTGTGTGTGTGTGTGTGTGTGTGTGTGTGTGTGTGTGTGTTTGCTCCTGTCTTTGCGGTATCAATTCCACTTTTTAGAAAAGCTGTGTACAGGCTACGCTGTGCACAGGGAGATGGGTCAAGAGGCTACTGCAATGGCTGGAAGTGAGAGAGCGGGTGGTTTGCACTGTGGTCAGGGTAGCAGGGCCGGCTAGAAGCTGCTGCTAAAGAGGCGAGAGCCAAGGTCAACAAGATTTAGGTGGGTGGGTTTGCCAGAGGGAGATCAATATCAAGAAACATACACAGGCATGCATGCACCCAAAAGAAACCACAGGTGGAAACTCAGTGTGGGTGCAGTAATTCCAGCACTTGGGAGGAAGATAGGAGTCCAAGGCCAGCCTTGTCTAGAAGCGACCCTGTCACCAAAGGAACACTTTGTCTAGAGAAGTGGCTGGGAGGTTGACAGTGAATACTGCTCCTGTAGAGGACCTGAGTTCTGTCTGTTCCCAGCACCCACACCAGGGCTCACAACCAATCACCTGGAACTCCAGCGCCTCATCCATGGGCACCAGGCATGCGCAGAGAAACCCTGTCTCAAAAAGAAAGAAAGAAAGGAAGGAAGGAAGGAAGGAAGGAAGAAAGGAAGGAAAAAGAAACAGATCAGGGGCCGGGCGATGGTGGGGAACCTGCCGGGCATTGGGCCACCCACGTAGGGAGACTCAGGAATGTAGGCTGACTTCCACAGCCTTCAGCCTCCACAATAATCTACTAGGATTATTGGCCACGGCTGGGGGTACCTTGAAGGAGACCCAGTGTTGATTGGAACTAGGGAAAGCCCTTGCTGTGTGACTGAAGACAGATGAGTGTTGAATCACTGCTTTGGAGCAGCAAAGGTGGGGTCTGTGTCTGGGCAAGTCAGATTTACTTCTGGGTAGGCTAGCATTTCAGACGTCAATTCTTTTTCTTATGTGCCGCTGAAAGACGTGTGTGTGTGTGTGCGCGCGCGCGCGCGCGCGTGTGTGTGTGAATTTCGGTTCCGCTAATTTAGCGTATTTTCTTCTGCCCTTTGCTCTGCCCTATTCTGGGCCTCTTTTCTCGTCTCCCTTCTTGTCCTCTCTGCAAGGGTGGAAAACACATCTCGCACCTAGGCAAACATTAACCCAGGCGATGCTTTCAAGAGGGAAGATAAACCCTAGGAAGAGTGAGAAGTGAGGGGTTAGGGCAAGAACGCTGGGGGGGGGGGGGTTGCGCTGCAAGGCAGCCCGCTCTCGCTCCACGCATGCGTGCTGGCAGGTTCTTGAGGGACACGGAGGAGGAAAAAAAAAAACTTTCCACTCCCGAGAATCCTACCCATAACTACTTTGATGGGAGCTTGGACTGTCCCGGGAACCTACACAGTAAAGCAATTGGATCCTCCTGGAGTTGTTTCAACTCGGAACAAGAGAGGATCAATTGGGGGTGCGCGGTCCTTTAGTATCAAATGTGCCGGCTCCCCTGCAGCTCCCCTGGAGCAGCCCAGGCTGCCTGCCCATCCTGGGATTGGGTGACTGTGAGGCGAACCTGCCTTGAGTAGCGTGGCAACCCCCTGGTGGGGAAAATTCAACACCTACATTTTCGCACCACCCGGAAAGCGTGACGGCAGAGGCAAAGCAGAACTAACTAAGCCTGATTGTGGTGGCCTAGAATTAGGGTACCCAGGAGACGGGAAGAGTGGAAATGGTGACCCCCCTTCGACTTGCAGGGATAGGCACGTCCTTGAAGGGGGCTGTGGGCTTCGAGCAAAGGGTACAGGTGCATAGCTCAGTGACCTTGGGCAGATCAACTAACGTTTGCTTTCCGAGCCTCCGCTGAATGTTCTTTTTAAAATTAGGTTTAATGTCTATTTTTATTTATGCGAGTGTGATTGTATGTCACTTGTTTGTGCGCCACGGTGCCCAGGGAGCCCGGAAGAAATTGTCGGATGCCCTGGAGCTGGAGTTCCGTATACAAGGTTCTCAGGACACTGGACGCGGGTTTGCTTTGGCCAAGGCCTTACTTTCCATCCTGTTAGGGACTGGGTGGGGGGCTACGTGGTAAGAACCGCACCATATTTAAGGCGGGTTTTTCCTCTTTGTGAGTACTGAGATACAACTACTAAAGGATGTTTTCATCATTCCCCATTTCCAACGAAGCCTACCTATCCCCACTGCCAAAGAGAGACAGACACCTGCTTTGCGCGGAGATGGTCTAAAAAGGCAGTCGCTTCTCATGGTTCCAATTTCCTGGACTTCCTACTAACACAAACTGCTTGTGCTTTAGGTGTCAGGGTGGGGGGAAATGGATTATCTTTAGCTCTCCATAGTCGGCCAATTAGTAAATTAGGTGTCACGGCTCTTCTTTTACAGAGGGCCGTCCTCATGGTCACATTTGAGATCTTGTCTAGCCTAGGAATTCCAGTTCGTTCCTTACAGTGCTTAAACCACATAACCTGCCTTGAATTAGAGCTAGACTTTCCCACGGTGTGAGGCCTAGGACAAGCGCTTTCGCCCACGCAGCCTCCTTCGGGAATCTGAAGTCAGTCGGAAAAGGAATAACACAACCTCAGAAGAGTGGGTGGTCATAATTAAAGACGCCCCCCCCCCGCAGCAACAACAATAAAAAGGCTTTCATCAAAAGCGGAAGAGTTTCGGTGAAATGGGCTTCCGTTTCGGTTAATCCGCCAGGCTCTATGGCTGTTTCATCCCAGGGACCCAGAACTCACACTTCAAGTCACAAAATCTAGGCATTTATTTGTCAAGTCCCATGGATATTATCCTCTGGGCCCACCCTACTCCTGCCTCTTCTCTGAGGCAGAACGAAACCCATTCCAGGTCTTTTGGCGGAAGTCTTCAAGCCCTCGCATCCGGCCCCCTTTCAACATCAAAGCCCCCCTGAGAGCAAAGGACTTTGAATAGATAGGAGTAGCTGGGACTCCTTATCGCTCCCTAGCTCTCGGGCGGGCGGGCAGAGCAGGTCGTAAATTCCCAGCCTCTCCCGACTGCCTTCTCTCTCCTCCGTTCCAGGTACCCCTTGGTCTGAAAGGCCAAACCTGTCGCTCTCTCCCCGCCCCCGGGTCCTGGTGGGGGAGGGGGAGGGTGGGGGACAGAGGGGCTTGCATCCCGTCTTTGGAGAAAGAGGCCACTACCGGGGACCCTGCTTGGCTTTCTGATCTGCGGGGGTCGGGGGTGTAACCCTCTGTCGGTGCGTGTCTGTACTTCCCCGCAGGCCAGGAGGGCATCCTGCGTTGTCATCCGGACCTAGCGGGCCGCGATCTGCAGCAGGGCACGCTCACCGCCGAGTCGCAGCGCGAGCAGAGCCAAGCCGGCCTCACCAGCCTGGATGCGGATGACCGGCTGCGGCTGCAGCGGCTTAACGCGCAATACCGAGAGCGCTTCGGCTTCCCGTTCGTGCTGGCTGCGCGCCTGAGCGACCGCGACGCGGTGCCCCGGGAGCTAGCCCGCCGGCTGCACTGCCAGCCAGAGTCCGAGCTGCGTACTGCCCTGGGCGAGGTGAAGAAGATTGGCCACCTGCGCCTGGTAGATTTGCTAGGCGCCCATCCCGCCAGGGTGGAACCGCCCCGGGGCTGGAGATCCGAATGCCAGTAGGATGCGCCACGTAGGGGACTTGGCGTTGCACACCCTTCGCTGGAGATTGGCTCCGGCCTGGAAGAACAATCCACTCACCCACACAAAGGAAGTGGAGAATTGAAGCAATGACACGACTAATGCATCCTTTGTACACCCATCCACACAGCACGCGTCGGCAAAATATGTCAGATTCTAGAGCGTTTAGCGCTTTGCCCCCGATTTATCCAGATGGCTGCTTCAATTCTCCACTGGCCCTGCGGCCTGCCCACACTGCAGCCTCGGCAGATTGAAAGCTCCCACCCGGCTCCCCCACTCTCCTGCTAAGCAGGAACTGGAAATGCAAAAGGCACTCACTGAAAAGGGGGTCTTGTACTCCAGAGCGATCTTTCTTCTCCCACTCTGAAAAAAAAAATTAAAACACTGATTTTGGTCCTAGGTGACCAACTAGCAGTGGGAGTTGAGTCCTCCCACTCAACTTCCAGCCTGGGGAAGATGCCCTGAGGAGGTCAGTCAGTTTAGTGTGTGTGTGTGTGTGTGTGTGTGTGTGTGTGTGTGTGTGTGTGTCCAAGTTGGAAAGTTTTGATAATCAGGAGCCAGTGTCACACTTGTCCCCCCAGAAGATCAGCCTTTGGTGATGGCCCTGCAAGCCAAGCCCTGGGTTTTGTGGAGCCCAGGTGAAGATGCCATCCCATAGTGCTGGCAATATGGGCACAGGGATGGTGCCAATAGAGATCTTCCCGTAGAACAAGCCAGACTTGGGAACCTGGAGCTCCAGAGTCAGTTACCCTGCAGCCTGTGGTAGCCACATGAGAAGCAACACCACTGGCAGGAGGGACCATCAAATCCCCCCTCCCCCATAATCCCGTTCCCGCCACCCCTGCCAAAGAGAAGGGGCGGAGTTAGTGAGTCCCAGGACTACTACTTACACTTCTTTTGGCAAAGAAAAAACAAAGCCATACTTGGCTTCCCCAACACAGACAGGTAGAAGCAGAGTTGATTTCCAATAGTGAACAACCAAATAAGACAAAAGGCATAGCCCCGCTCGGTAAAAAGCTGTGCCACAGAACTTTGGGTTTGGGGGGTGATGGTCCACAGAAATAATCCCCTCCTGGAGCACCCAGAATCAAAATAAAGGCTCCAGTTACCTTTTCTGTCACCTCTTCTATGTCCCTCCCTGAGCAATATGGGCATGAGAAACTGGGGATGGGAGAATGGAGCCTGGGGCACAGGAGCACCAGATACCCACAAAGGCCAGCACTCTATGCCTAGCTCCCTCTCTCTCTTAGTGCTCGAACACTCAGCACAAGCACACGCTCGGGCTCACAGGACAGGACCAAGACTCAAAATCCACTATACTCAAAGCATTCTGCCTAGCCCTCCGGTAAACCCAACCCTTAGATAAACGGCCCTAAAACGCAGAATCCACCCTCTTTATGTAAATTTGTTAAACTGAAGATGCAGAGAATCCAACGGGACAAGATTCCTAGGGCTATTTTTAGAATCATAGATCCAATCTGTGCTTCAGAAGAACGACCGGGTCTCTCCAGTGACATAATTGCATTTTAACAGTCAAGGGCTTATCCCGAATTTTTTACCCCTGCGGGAAAGGGCATGGGGTTGGGCAATTGCTGGCGTCCCTTTGGAGGGAGGTGGCGGTGAGGGTACGAGAACTGGCTACTCAAGGACTCTTCTTCCAAAGACGCTGGAGCGCTGGCAATCCGAAGGTCAGAGCTGAATGTGCGAGGGAGGAAGCCATCTGGGATCTGGGAAAGAACGGAGAGCCCTGTCAAGGGAGTCAAGCGTCAGAGGCCCTGTCTGTGTTGGGGAAACCAAGTATGGCTTCCCCGCACCGGGCGGGTGATCGGTGCTGCAGAGGATGGCAGGCAGTTCCCTTCCTCCGTATCTGAGTCCCAACAGTGACAAGTCTGCACCAGGCGCTTCCTCTGGTTCCTTACTCTCTGGTGCGCAGCATGCGGGAGACAAGCCTGCAGCGCAGGCACCACCGCAAGGCACTCGCTTGGGTGGACCCGGCAAACACCAGGAGGGCGCAGGGATAGCTGGTTTGCATTTGGTGGGGACAATTAATATTTTACTTATGAATTCGTCAAAGAAAAAAATATTGAAAATGAAAAAGAACCAGACAACCTAAGGATTCGAGAACAGTGTGTTTTGACTCCAGCCGATAAACAGACAGCTCATCACACACACACACACACACACACACACACACACACACACACACACACACACACACACACTGGGGGAGGGGATGGCTTCTCTCCTCATCTCCCCCACTGTCACTGTCCCTTACAAAAACATCCGAGCCCAGCAGGCGAGTGTTCCTGTAAAGGGATCTCCGCACAAGGTTCAGCCTGGAAAGCAGGAACCCGTTTCCAGCTTGTGGTTCACCTTTGTATCTGGGAACGGAGGAAAGGTGTTTAAAAATCTATTTGGGGGCCTTGGTCTTTAAAGACGCTGGTATTTAACGAGGGGGCAGCAGGGGGGACACACATTTGATGATAACCTTTACTCATTTTTAAGCTGATACCTTTCCAAGCTGAGTCACAGAATATCAGTTCCAACTCTTTAAAAAAAATGGAATGCCCCCCCCTTTAAGAAGGTGTTTGCTATGAGAAAAAAGTCGATGGAGACCTTTACAGCCAGTTGGAGAAGAAGCTAGAATAGTACTTCTGGGGGGAAATGTACTCAATAAACAGAAAGACTAAAATGAGCAGGTACCCCAGAGGGAGAGCAGTATGGAGTGTGGTCAGCATCCATCGTAGCAGCTGAGAACCTGATTACTCTGGTATTGTGGTGTGTATAGGGTGGGGAATTCTCAGACCATGATAGCTGGTTTTGTACTGGGGATGTTTCCAGGGTGGTACCAACAGACATAGTAATAATTAACATCTGTACAGACTGCTGTATGTTGCAAAGATCAGACATACTGTGTTTTTGTTTAACACTGGAGACCTGAACAGCTAGCTAGGAGGCCTTGGGAGAATCTCCAATCCTCTCTAGTCTTTGTAAAACAGCAGCTTGTCCAGGTTCTAAGCGTGGCCATCACTACCACTGTCACCACCACCACCATCAGTATCATCACCAGCACCAGCACCATCAGTATCATCACCAGCACCAGCACCATCAGTATCATCACCAGCACCACCAGCAAGCACCCTGCTTCAGGCAAGGCAACCAGCCTGTTAGTGGATATGAACTGAGAGGGAGACAGGTTTGTCTATGCTCATTCCCAAACTGGCCATACAAAACTTACTCTGTAGGCTTTCCTTGGAAAAGATTTTCATATGATAAGCAAAGGTCATTCCAGGCATGAGGCAATGGTGAGTGAACATGCTAACAGAAGAGCACTGGTAATGCTCTCTGTTGTGAGTCTGTGATACCAGCTCTCCCCAGTGCTTCCCAGTCATATTTTGTTTTCATCTCCCATACAGCAATCAAACGGATTGCCCAACATTCCAAGTATCCACACGCTAATTTTAGAACAAAGGAAAAAATAAGTTATTCCCATTACTTGTTTAACTTTCATCCAATGAGCAAAATCATTCTACAGAGAGTTCTAGACATTTCTCCCTTTCCTCAACAGCCTTCTTTTCTTGGACCTTCTGGCTGGGAGAATATATTTTGGACAGAACAAGCTATATCCCCTGCATTGGATCAGAACACCCCATGGTCCCTCCAGGAGAGGCATGAGACAGTTGTGTCCCTCCCAAGCTCGGGAATCCCAGCCCAATGCCCTGCCACAAATTCTGGAAGCCTCTTAGCTGGAGGGGACCTGGCCCCCAGTGTGCTTAGGGGGGAAAAGCATGTGACATCTTGCCAGCTGAGACCACATCTGCAGACAGCTGTGAGCAGCTGCAGCACCTCCTCCCTGCTCTAGATGGACACTTGGGCCTCCATTGTAGCCTAGTGTGCTGGACAGGTGGCAGACTCTGGGGAAGCCCTAGAGGAAGAGCAATGCTATTGACTCCCCTCCCGGAGATGCCAGCTGAGTGGGTTTGCAGCAGGCCCTGGTGGGGTCAATTCATGCAATATTGAGTCTTTCTTTGTGTGAGTGGATTGCTATTGAGGAGAGCGGCTCAGAAATCCCTGGAGTTTGGGCAGTGCCCCACAGCACTCTGCCTGACAGGCTGAGAGGACTAGCCACGGGCTCTCTCTTGCTCTTCCTGGAGATTCAGGTTTTTAATGAGCAGGTGGCATTGCTGAAATCAGTCCTGTCTACATGGGACTCAGAAAGGACACGTTCGTGCCAAAGGGGCAGAGAGAGCCCACTCTGTGGAAGGTGGGTGACCCACTTGCAAGCTGCAAGAGCCATAGATGTGGGTCAGAGGCAAGGTCCTATGGCTGGAACAAACAGCAAGACCTTTGAGCAGGCAGGGAGCCATGTCAGTGATCTGTGGGTTTAAGGAGTGCCCCATCTGCCTGGTGGGGGAGCCGCCCCTTCCGGTAGCCTCCAGTCCCTTCAGAGCCCCTGCTCAGGCCACCGGCCTAGATCCTGAAAGGGCACCCTCTTCAAGGAATGTGGAATGTCCTCTAGGTTGTCGGTAACAAAGAGCCATTCCTTTGATAACCAGGTTGGCAGCTCTGCAGTCTTCCTGTGGCTTCATCTTTTTTTTTTTCTTCCCCTTCCCACTCTCTGCCCTAGCAGCTCATGCCTTCCCAACATGGAAGGCTGGTGCCTGGGATAGTATGTGGAAGCCAGCCTCCACCTACAGTGCAGCCGGGTGACACCCAGAGTGGCCCCTTCTCTAGTAGTGTCAGCTCAGACTAAAAAAACACTAAGAAAGCTTCTAAGCTCTTCAGCGCAACAGTAAGGGGAGTCTGAGGTGGGACTTTGCTGCTTCCTGCTCTGCTGTTATGCCATGAGTCATGGGTGGGCTCTGCATCTATGGGACATGCTTGAGCCCAAGGCGTGGCCCACCAACCTGCCAACATGCTAGAACTGTCCCCAGTGGAATGACACACAGACTTCCCATTTGCCACCCTCTACAAAAGTCAGAATTGTACTCACAGACTTGTCCCTTTGGGGGACACAGCTGGGCCTTGTTTAGGCTAAGAGAGGAACCCATCCATGGAGGAGGGGGAGGCTTAGCAAAATTTCCACTCTGAAGTGCTTGTTAAAAGACAGTATTAATCAGTTCCTTTCTCCTCTCCAAACAGTCCAGACTCTACCACTGCAACCATGGTCAGGCTACTACTGCGGGAGTGCCTAGGTTTTACAAGGAGGAAAACCAGTTTTGTTAGTATGCTAGTATCATCTCCTTTCCTGGGTTCAAGCACCCCAAATAAAGCGCATGGGCCCCTGTTGCTTGGTTTGGGGGAGCAGAGTAATCTTGTCTGTTTCCCTTGTGGTGCCCAAGCTGGAGTCCTTTTTCCACGGTAGGGCACAGAGACACAGCTGGAACAGGACAATTAGCCAGAGGCTGGCAGCCTGGGCCATAAAAACTCAGGAAGTAGCCACCACAGGGCTGAGGGAATGGATGTCCCTAATAAAGTGATTGTTTCAAAGAAATGCCAGAATGCAGGCATTCAAGGACTCAGGCTGAGCTTGGGTCTGGTCCTGGCCTTCCAGAGCTCCAGCCTGGGAGGGGCCATGAAGATGGAAAGAGGTATTGAGTCTCAGGAAGAGGTGAGGGACACTGAAGATCAAAAGCTTACAGTGCCCCTCATCTAATCCCCCACATCCCACATCCCAGCCACCCCATGGAAACTGTGAACACCCCTATCTGCTCTCTGCTCTCTCTGGCCTTCTGTAGTAGGGTTTGATATTTATTTCCAGGTTTGTTTCTTGGAAAGTGAGATGGTTCCTGCTAGGTACCCACCCAGGAGGGTTGATGGAGGAGCAACAAAGATCCTGGGCCTCTTGAGGGACAGCCCTTGAATATCCAGTCACCCCCAGTTTTAACCTTCCTGACGAAGCCCAAAGGGTAGGAAGAGCAGGCAAGTTCCCACAGTTGTAGGCCATACAGGAGGTGGGGAAAAAAGGAGATAAAGAACCCCGGAAAGTGCCCCCCCAACACAAACCCAGAGAGGCATGGTGAAAGGAGAACCCACTGAAGCAGGACTCCAAGGAAGGTTCCAGGCACCGGCAAGAACAAAGGAGAGCTGCTCAGCTTGGGCCTAGGCATGTT